AGCCCTCACACTTTGGGGCTATTAATATATGAATTCTTTATAATTAAATAAACAACTCTAACCCCTTAAAATTTAAATTATAAAATCCAAATTCATACAAGATAAACTTTAATTAAATAACCCATTTTGGCCTTAATAAACAAACATCCTCAGCACAAGCAACTTAAAAATTAAACTCATATAGGACATTTCAAAGTCACACAATCTCTTTCACATACATACTTATATAGTTTGTTATAGCAACCAACTCTAGCCTAGGTTTAGTCGGTGGTGTTGTTTTACTTGTCGGGTGCTTTGCTTGAAGAGCATCCTTTATTTGTTTATTTATTTAATGCAATCTGGATGTCATGTATTTTAAATTTCTATTTGTACACTTAGGTTATTTAAGTACTACAATAGAAGTATTAGGTGCTTATACAACTGCTCTGAACATTTTATTTTAAAAGCTAATGCTTTTATACATGCCTTTATATTCTTATAAGAGTCAAAAGTAGAATGTACCAAGAACTGTTGTACATATGTACAAGTGTTTGTAAATCATAGATTGAATTATATCAAGTTGTACAACATCCTGAGTTATAAAAGAACCAAATACACCTACTTATACATATAAGGGGCTCCAAAAGATGATGACATCTCCTTTGGAGGATAATCTCTTTTGGAATATAATAGAAAACCTGGAGCTCAAAGATTTTAAGCAGGTGTATTTGATTCTGTACTTATGGTAGGCTTAGAAAATCAGGTTTGTTATGATGGAGTCTGGTCAACTTACTTTCCTACAGAGTTTGAGTCGATTATCCACATTCAAATCAATAAATGAATTAATTTTTTTTTTACTAATGTAGCTCTCTTATTCACATCATTTCATATATTACATGCATATGAGTGGTAGTTTGCATTAGGAGGTAGTAGGTTTTCTTGGATTCTCCTCAATGTGCATGTCCAAAACTTTGTATGAACATGTATTCTAGTTATAGGACGACATCGTTTTGGGTACTATATACACCAACCCCTTTACATATTTATACATACATACATACATGTTTATTTTTCTTATATGATTGTAGAGCTTAGGTGTATGCCTCTAGTTGGTAAGATAGTGAGGTCCCCATTATGCACGGGGGATGCTACAGTTTTCCTATAGGTTGGCAGTTACAAAATTTAGCTAGATAATCTAAATAAAATAAAATTTAGAGTTTTAGCGAATCGTCTAGTTGGCATCCCTTAAACGTAAAGTCAAATTACTCGTTTTGATTCATTTATTTAGAGTATGGTCTATTTCTACGATCTTTTAGGATAGAGCTAACCTTATAATGCATTACATGTAGGATGATTGCGTATGTATTAGGTTGTTAACTGGTAGTTCCAAGAAGGCATAAGTCTAGAGGTATTTGCACACCTCAACTCTATTATAAAAATAATATTATGTATTTAAATATATTTTCTATAAAAACTTTAAAATAATGTTTCTAAGGAACGATTGATATTTTCAAATATATAAGGCAACTTTCTTATAAGTTAAAATCAAAATGAGTTTAATTTTCACTTTAATCAAAAGTTTTCTCTTTGGAGATGTAAGTAACTATAGGAGCTTGCCTCTGTAGGAACCCAATATCCCAGTATAAAATAAACCATATCTTAGTTCGCTAAGAGTGGAAAAAAATCTCTTATTGTCGACTGAAGGTCATCCTTCGTTAATTTCGTATTTAAAATGATAGATGAATGTGAATTTTATCCTTTGGGATAATTTTTACATTCTCTACACCGAGTTTGAATACCAAAATAAATCATTTCTTTTCTCAAATTGATAGTGCAATATTAGTTTATTCCTCGTGATAATTAATAATAATCATGCAAATTTATTTAAAAAATATTAAATATCATATGTGATGCCCCAGATTTCAATTTGAAAGAATTAGATTATGGGGCATCACAATTAGTATCAGAGCAATTGCTTGAAGAATTGATTATTATCTGAGCTACAGGAATTGATTGTGTGCTGGGTAGAATGTGTAGCATAAGGTGCATTATTTTGTATACGCAATTGATTGCATAATTGAATGACATGTGATATAATGAAATGCATAACCATATAATTTTTTATGAGTTTTAATGTGATTTTGATTTAATTTGAGTTTTGATTGTACGAATTTGATTTATATTAATTTTTTGCCTGAATCCTTTAGGGAAATGTTGGAGACAATATTTTATTAAGATTGGTAGATTGTAATAACCCATATTTTGATTGAGTTAAATAATTTTTTTTTGGAGTTAAAATAATTCCAAATCATAAACTGTCTTCGTCATAACATTGATATTATAGTATTTTACTTGCTTTATTTTTTTCATAAATTTTGGGCGCCGATGAAAATTCTTAAGAAATTAATACCTATCGATATAAGTGAGAATTTTACGACCATCAAGTGTCTGTTTTGTAAACTAATTTTATCGATATTTTTTAAATAAAATAATTTATTTTATGGATATTTTTTTATAATTTTTTAAGCTTTAAAATAATTTAGTTGAATTTATACTAAAAATTTTAATTAAATTAATAATATAATATGAAATTATTATTATATTCTAAAATATCCTAAGTCTCTAAAGAATTTAAAAAGCCTTTTCCTCTAGCATTCGGCTGAAATAGAAAACATTAAAAAAAAAAAGAATTTGAGAGAAACAGAGTAGAGATAGAAAGAAAAACTTAAGATTTGGAGATTCCTGAGTGATTTTTGACAATCGAGCATGTTAGGAGAATTGCTTGTCTCACTGTAAAGAATTTTTATCCTATTTTTTATTTCAAAGATTTTATATTTTTGATATTTTTTTGAACAAATTTGTGTTTTCATTATCGAAAAACATGAATAATTTTATATTGGTAAAATTTTCATCACGTAACTTTTTGTATAATATAGAGATTGAGATTATGAATATTTTGAGTATTTATTTGAGATTTATGGGGTGATTTTTAAAATACAATAATTTTTGTCTACTCAAAATTTTTTTTATATTTAAAAATAGTGATTTAGTTCAACTAAAGCTTCATAATATTAATTTATGTAATACCTTGTAATTTAGTTAAATTTTGGAAATATGAATTTTTGCTCAATAGAATTTTGTTGTCTGTCGTTAGGACATTTTAACATTTTTTTAATTAAGCTAAATTGTATATTATTTACTGCAATATATTAGAAATGTATGTCAATATGTGATTGAGATTATTGTTATAATACTGTGATAATAATGTATGTAAAACAAGACAAGTAATTACTAGTTGACATGTTGGTTGAAGACTATATAATTGACTTGTGCATGATGATGGGCCAACAAGCTTTCCTTTAAATATTATGATTTAGTGTTATCATCTACTGATTCACGTGATATTAATTGGGAGTTATAAGGAGATGATTACTGTATCGATATTTTGATTTGATGCTTTATATAATTTCTATACTGATTGGTTACGGATAAGATGATTGTTCTATATATTTAACGTTCGTACTAGTTTATTACTTTGCTAGCTTTAGTACTGTAGTATTTTATTATTTATAGATTCTACTACTATTGCATGTGAATTTTATTGTTTATGTACTTATTAAATTATCATATGAATATAATTGTTATGATTCGACTGTTGATATGCATATTACTTATTTGTCGTGTTTTGAATTTAGTTGTAGGTTTTGGTGACATGTTGGATTTTTTAAGCTGATTATATGTGATAAAATGATTTCAAGTCATGGTAGAGAATCAGAAGTGCCAGGTTGGTCAGGAATCCTCTATGTTCAAGTTCTTTTTATTTTAACTATTTTTTTGTACTCATTACATAATAGATATGTGATGATTGTATAGATCTTGAGTATTGTATATATATTTTTTGTAATTAACATAGACGTGAACATTGATATTTTAAATTATATAATATATTTTATTATTTATTATTGATAGATGATATTATATAGTTCTGTTTATTATTTATTAAAAGATAAATGAATAATTATATAAAATTATATTATGGGGTATTGGGGTATCATATATTAAATTAGTGTTACATCATTATTTAATTTGTCCACCCACTTGCCACAGCACTGCTTCCTTTGCGCTCGCATCCACGCCTGCATGGTGGCGAACCTTCTTTCCGTCGTGCCTACACTACCCACTATGCACTCGCGTGTCGTGTTCACACCTAATGGCCAATCTCGTTGCCATATTCGAAGTTCTTGAGTCGGGTCTGGTCACCAGGTAACTCGGTGCGTCAGGTCTGTGCCTGAATTTTTGACCTGTTTATAAAATTGGGTCGGGATCAGATCAACCCGTTTGGACCTGGGTCAATTCTAGGCTTGATCCAAACCCGACCCGAAAACTCATTTTGACACCCCCTAGATTAAGTCCTTTGATGATTTTCTACCTAAGATGGTGGCAAGTTGCTTTAGAAGTATACTCCTTATATGATGAGCGTATTCTGACTTGGGGGCCGGTCCTATGTGATCTCATTGTGCTTCCATCCCACAAAGTAACTTTAATGAGTTAGGGTTCAAGACCTCTAAGCCAATCTTCATTGTCAAGATTCATAAGATCTGAGTTATCTTCTTAAAATTTGTCCGTTACCTATTAAAAACTTGAGACAGCATGTGCAATTAAATAAATGATACTTAGGATAATGAGAGCTTTCACATTTTCGCACAAATAGTAGCCTTGCTTAAGGGTGTCAATTATTGACTCAACTCAAATCCGACTCAAAAAATTTGGGTTCAGATCGACTCATTTAACAAGCTAGTCGGGTTCGGGTTGCAATTTATGACCCTTTTTGAAAATCGGGGTAGGGTCCGGGTAAACTCGATAATTTGAATTTGAGCAAGATTGACCTGATTTCTGACTCCCCACCCATGTTCCCACACCTGCACAGGTTTTGGCGCTCCATTGCACTGCCTACGCATCTGCACCGCACCTGCACCCGCATTAGCAGTCTCACTCGCGTAGTCCGCAACTCGCACTCTTACCCTAGTCTGTACACTAGCGCTCGCACCCCGCACTCAAGCTCGAACTCGGCACTCGCATTCGTATCATGCACTCGCGCCTCGCCCTTGTTCGGGAGCGTTGTGCACCACGCACTCGAGCTCGCCCCCTGGCCTGCATCCTTGCTCATCTACTGCCCTGCTCACAACCCGATTAGTGGGTTGGATCGAGTCAACCCGGTAATTTGACGGATCGGATCCGGATTTGAATTCCTAACCCATTTGCCTAATCAGATCAGATTTGGGATCATATTAGTTGAAGGCAGATTAATTTTGTATTATATCAGACCGACCCGAAAATTTACTTTTGACACCCCTAAGTCCTTAATATGTTAGTAGAAATCATCCTAACGTCTTATTGACCGTCGTATTGTTAAGATTCGTGCATAGACATAATGGATTATTAGACCTTCGCCACAGGGATAGCTACACATGAAACAAAAATATACTATCCATTTGGTCTACACGTGACGCGCCGCAGAAAGATCTAAACTCATTTACGTGTTTACCCTTGGCTTCAGGTTTAATATGCATAGTATTCTCGTTATTCTTCGCAAAATCTCGGGCATTTTGTTTTCCCTGCCGTATATAACACTATCTTCCTCATCTCCGGCCACTTCGCAGCTCCTAACCTTAACTCTCTCTCTTCGGAAATCGGACCTCGTACGGTTTTCTGAACTCAGATTTGAGCGTCGATGAGGTTCTCCTTTCTGTTTTCGTAAAACGCTTGCGATTGATTACGGCTTTTCCAAGGGATTTGGTGGTTTAGTTGAGGTGATGACTTCGGCGACGAGGCTTCCGACATGGAAGGAGAGGGAGAACAACAAGCGGAGGGAGCGCCGGCGACGAGCGATCGCAGCCAAGATCTACGCCGGCCTAAGGGTGAACGGAAACTATAAGCTCCCGAAGCATTGCGATAACAACGAGGTGCTCAAAGCCCTCTGCAACGAGGCCGGATGGACCGTCGAGGCCGATGGGACCACTTATCGCAAGGTACATAGTTTATTCTTTCGGTAAATTATGGTTTCTGTTCGATTTATTGAATTGGAAAATGTGTGTGGTGGAACTCAGTTCCGATTGTCGGACGGGCTGTTGCTCGTCGGAGATTTCAGTTTGGTAATCTCCGGCGGCCTATTTTAGCTTATCTGCTAACGTGCGCCGACTCGTTCGGGTTTCTCGCCATCTTCCTTCTGTTTTAACGTCTTTTTTGTCTGCAACTGAAATTGTCGATTTTATTAGTCTTCGATGGGTTCAATGGTAAACTTTTCCAAATCAAGCCAAAAACTATTAATATAATTTTAATAAAATAAATTCAATTAAATTTGTAAAAACTCGGTCCAAACTCCAAATCATCGAAATTCAACCAAAAATAATTAAAAAAAAAATCATTTATGATTTCTAAACTTAAAAAAAAAAAATCAATTCAAATATTTTAGAAAATAATTATGTTAGGATTAACTGATGCAAAATAAATCAAGATGGATTTTAATTGAATTTGTGCGGAGATTAAAACAATCAGTTTGTCATAGCTTTTTTTCTGTATCTTAAAACAGCTTTATTTTAGTAAAAAATTAGAATTTTTGTACTAATAAGTTACTTAACAAAACCTCAATATATAGTAAATTTAAATTGGGGGATTTATATAAATATCATCTGATATCATGTTATTTAAATTTTTACATATCTAATATCAAAAGTTTAATATTTCATGACAATTTGAATATCAAATGTCAATCTTATATTTCACTACAATCACCCTAAAAATTTTTAATATTTCATTCATTACATTCTTTTTTGATCTTTGAGTGACAGACATAAATATTAAAGTTATAGGGGTTAGATGTGTAAATAGTATGACAATATATATATATAAATCCCCCTTCAAAATATCATAATTTTTCTTTAAATACTTTTTGTAAAATGTAAAAAACTTTTTTAAAAATAAAATGGCTAAAGTGGCGATAAAACTAAACATTTAAGCAGTAAAAAATGGCCCAAACCAAAACTGTGTTATATTTTACCAAAAAAGATTTTAAAAACTTGATTAAATTTTAATGAAATTGCTTTTTAATCGAATATTTAATTCCCTATCTGATGCGCCGGCTGGGTTCTGGGCGACAGATTTTCTTAGCTCACTGATGATTGATGAATTGGTCTGTAGCTGAACACTTGATTTGGGGAGGAATCTATAATCGCTTCCTTTTCAGCGTTTGGAATTACTGTAGATTATTCTCGATGCTGTTCGGAGCAGAGACAGCACGTGAATACCAGATAGGAAAGCATAATTAGGAAGAAGTTTTTTGTTTTTTTTGTTTGGGTGAAGATCAGGAAGAAGTTTTGCTCCTTCGAAAATTGGAAAGTCTCCTATTATTTTCATTCAATTATGTTGAATTTTTCAAACACTCACAAACAAGTCTGTGAAAAACGTTTATGCGCAAATTAATCTTAATTTTTCACAAACAAGTCTGTGAAAAATCACTATCAAAGATTGTCTTTTTCGTCAATGGCATCCTTTCACAGTGAATACAAGTATCTCATCGCTTCAATATGGAGTGGTAAAATAGAAGAAAAAGAGGACTTTAGGTGGTATATTAGTAAATATAGAAGTTTAGGTGTTAAATATATATTTTTAATAGTTTTAGGTGTTATGTATGTAAAAATTCCTTATATTTATTAGTGTATCATTTAATTATTTATAAATCTTAAGATAATCTCAATCATTTAATTCTTATTTATATAGCATTATCTAATAACCTTCAAGCATAAATGAGTTAGTAGCAGAGGAGCACTGCCATAATTAATCTCAAATATAGTGTTTTGTGCATGTTCTTATTTTGAAATTAAAATTAAGATTAATTTGTGATAAAAAAAATATTTAATTCTACTTTCATCCAATAACTATGCATTATAATATCAACATGATAAAGTCAGTCTTATTTGTTTTATAGGATTTTCGTTACACTACAATATATTTGTATTATTTGTAAATAAATTCAGTAATAAATAATAAACAATCATAAAATATTCTATTTTATTGATATCTCTGCTTGCTTAAGATTTTATCTTCTTATGTGATTTAGATTCTTAATTACTATTCAATTAAAAGTGTAAATTTTAATGGAGCTATTTTTCATGAGGAAATTAATTATAGTATAATATTTAGTGATTTAATATAGTGTGTATTAAGATAAAAATTATAAATTCATTTATTTAGCATAATCCATGCTGATGCGCTTTTTCATATGCCGTTAAAGAAAAGGTCATTATGACTTAGTTATCATGGCGAATTATTGCGTCCGGTCACCGGATGTCCATACATCAAATCCGGTGACGCCACGTCACTCCAATGCACTGGGTCCCGGTGTATTTTGGTGACGTGGCGACACCGGATTGGTGCCGGACGAATCCAGACACCGGACGCAATAATTTGCCAGTTATCACTTGAGAATAAATAGTTATTTACATAAAATTTATTGTAGTCATCTATCATATTATTAATATCTATATATTTTAAAAAGGGGTTCTTATTTTCATTAAGAGCAAATTAAATATCATCTTAAATTTAAAATTATTTATTTTTTGCTTGGGGAGGGGGGGGGGTGATAATGTGAGAAAGAATTTCACCACTACTCATTTAGGGCATCTCTAACGGAGAACTCCATTTTTCACGGCAAAATACCGCAAAACTTCAAAATGTCCTGGTGATGCTCCAATCGAACGCCATTTTTGTGCTTCTGCAAAGGTAACGATCCTTCTACCTTTCGCGTGTTTTTCCGGTTGAGAGAGCAAAATAGCGTGAGTGAACAGTGCGACGCCAATATTGGCGTCGCACTGTTCACCCGCAAGTAAATGACGGAAAATTTGACGTTCGGCTGAAGCGACCGAACGACGCCATATGCTCGTTTGACGTTCGTTTCGAGATGCTCTTAGGAGAATATAACCACTTATCTTCACACTTATTTCACCATCACCATAAATTTTGAATAAATAAGATTTAAATTAGCTAAATGATAATTTCAGCGCAATTAATTTTAAATAAAGTTTCATGTAAGAAGGAATCTAATTATATTCATTAAAATTACTTAATCTTTCAATCTAAAATGAAATGAGAAATTTTTAGGATTTTCACATAAATTTATAGCTTTTTGAAAGCATTAAATGGGTATTCTTTTATGTTAATGAAGCAGTCATCATGAAGATGGTGTATTAGTCAAGTTTAAAGCAAAGGGTGATGTACACATATAATTGTATATTTTGACTTTTTGATATAGTAATGCAAATGCATTTTTCATAAAAAAGGTTGATGTGCAATAATTATAAGAAATTGAGTGACATATACATGAATATAAAAAATTGTAGTTGAATCTGTATAATATTATGGTATTTGTAGTCATGAGTTATTCATTCGTTTGGTTTGATGACAAATAATTCATAAGCAACATTTAGTCTTCGTCTGGAACAGCTTTTGTACTGCTTTCTAACACGACTTTTTAGTATAGAAGTTTCTATTTTAAGAAATTTTTTTTACTAGAAAGCTGTTTTAAAAAGTAATAAATAAGTTTGTCCCAAATGAAACCTTAGATATTATTTTTCATAACATACAAATATTTTCAAATCTAACATTTAGTTATCTGATTATTTCACGATCAAACTAACATATAAAAATATTATAATAATTGATGATAATTCCAAAATAATGTTAGATTGTTACAAAGCAATAACATTAAATCAAACGCACTGCCAATACGATTGTTCTCATTACTTGTGCTCTGTGTATTTCCTTCTGATTTTTGCATTCAATCTTTTTGTTTATCCTTGAGGTTTCCAGAAAGCTCTTCTTTTGGTTTTTTATGGTTGACTAGTTTTTGACTAAGCTCATGCTCCGTTCAAGTGGGAATTTTTATTTAGTTTCCAGCTGTGTTGTGTTGATTAGTTTCTATTACTGCCAAGTTGACGTTTTTATTTTATTGTCAGGCTTATGTTTTGTTGTTTTGATATATTTTGTTGTGATTCTCGTTGTTTTTTCTGTCCAGATTCTACTAAGTTTTTTTTTTTTTTCATTGAAGTGGATCCATTGAAATATTTATCTTTTTAGATTCCGGGATCAATAAATAATTGAGAAAATAATTGTTGAATTTCTCCAAAAGTTCCCAGGAAAATATTCTTTTCGAAGCAGACAAAGGCTTCGTTTGAGACAGCTTTTTAACTACTTAAAGCAGCTTTTTATTACAAAAATTAAAAATTTTGTACTGAAAAGCTACTTTAAGAAGCAGAAAGAAAGATGTCCCAAACAAAGCTCAAATGTATCAAAGCAATCATTTTGAATGGTCGGCGAAAAAAACATTTTCCCATTGAGTTCCAATAGGGCAGTGTCACTTGAGTTTGAAGATTAACAAGGCTTTAGAAGAAATAGAAAAAAGTCTCTCATTTCTGTCTCCAGACACTTTTATCTTTAACATTGTTCCTTTAATTGCTTTTTGTTTGAAAGAAGATATCATTTTAATAAACAACTATTACCTAATTATTGGCTAATTAACATATTAATCTTCATTGTTTAAGTAATCCTTCAATTGAATCATTTGACTGATATATTTCACCATGCAGGGATGCAAGCCACCAGAGCTCATGGACATTACAGGAGCAAGTACATGCTCATCATACCAGCCAAGTCCTGCCTCTTCCTCCTTCCCCAGCCCAGCTTCCTCCCCCTATCTCTCCACCCCTCGCATCCCTTCCAATTTGCCCCTCGCCACTGATGCAAATTTCCTCATACCTTGGCTCAAAAACCTCTCCTCCACCTCCTCATCTTCCTCCTCAAAACCTCCTAGCCTCCACAACCTCTTCATCCACCATGGCTCCCTAAGTGCTCCAGTCACTCCTCCCCTTAGCTCCCCCACTGCTCAAACTCCACGCATCAAGACCGATTGGGACGACCCGGCAAACACCCTGCAGCCTTCATGGCCGCCATCCCCCACGTTCAGCCTCGTGTCGCCAAGCCCATTTGGGCTCTATAGGTTAGCCTTTTAAGTTTCGTTTGGGACGGCTTTCTTATTACTTCTTAAAGCAGCTTTTTAGTATAAAAATTAAAAATTGTGTATTAGAATTTGATAGGAAATACTTGAGTTCGCAAGCAAATCTATCTCCAATTGGTGAAAACAGCGAGAATAATGCAAAATCCGGGCGAAATCAGCCCCAAAATGATGGAGAAACAAAGCCAAACAAACACAAAACAAGATATAATTGATCCTCAATTCGACAGGAGGATCGTCTCTCCCAAATATCTAGACAAGAGAATCTAGAGCCCAAACGTCAAGAAACCCTAATTTTCAATCAAACAAAACATAATCCTCCCTATTTCCCTCATGTACTTTAATACCCAAACTTCCCTAATCTAATTTCCCTCCCAAAAGCCAAGCCCCCCCCCACACACTCTATTCCATTTGAATTCAATTAGATGGGGTGGGCCCCATCTGTTTGGCGGAACAAATGTGAGTAGGCGGACTGGTTCTCCCTCCTGTATGTGTGTTGAGCCGGCCAACGGGCCGACTGAGCTGGTTCTATTTGAACCAGCGTAACAGAAAGCTACTTTAAGAAGAAATAATAAAGCCGTCTCAGACGTAGCCTTAATCTATCTCCATTACTTGAAAATTAGATCAGCATGACTGATAAGCCTAGATCAGTTCAGATCCTATACAAAAAAAACTATCTCAAAAGCATGAAAAAATTATCTTTAATGGTGTTCTGATTGGATAGAATTGCTCTTAGATTAAATTGGAATGTTAATTACAGGGAGGGAATTGAGAGCGGCGGATCGTCGAGGATGTGGACGCCGGGGCAAAGTGGCATGTGCTCGCCGGTGAACGCCGGGCCAGATGTGCAGATGATGGATAGCGCCGTCGCCGCGGAGGAGTTTGCATTTGGGAGCTGTGGAAATGGTGGGATTGTGAATCAGATGTTGGTGAAGCCATGGGAAGGGGAGAGGATTCATGAGGAGTGTGGAGCTGATGAGTTGGAGCTCACTCTTGGAAGTTCCAGAACTAGAGGTTAAGGCTTCGTTTGGGACGACTTTTTTATTACTTTCTAAAATGGAGTTTTAGTACAAATTTTTTTAAAATTTGTACTAAAACTCCATTTTAGAAATCAATAAAAAAGTCGTCCCAAACGACGGCTTTTTTACTGCTTATTAAAGCAGCTCTCTAATATAAAAATTAAAATTTTTGTATTAAAAAGTCGCTTTAAGAAACAGTAAGAAAGCCGTCACAAACGAAACCTAAGCTGAAAGTAAATTGCTTCTGCTCTATTTTTCATAGAGAGATACAGAGGGATGGGGAGAGTTCCATTATGAGTATCAAAAACCTTCTATCCTCTTCTTCATGAAACTGTTGTTGTTAATTATCTGTCATTTGAAATGTGCTTCTTTACAACATTTTCCATATTTGGTAATTTGGGTGTAAGTATAATTTATTAGAATTGCAAAAGTTAGTTGTTTTTTTGGGAATTGTAGTGAATTCTTACTTCTTAGGGTTTATGTGGTTTCCTGTGAAATAAAATATTACAATTCAGTGTAATCTAGATAAATATTAAAATTGAGTTTGCAATATATTAGTTTATGCAAATGAATAAATATTGCTGATGTTTAATGTTGTAAAATCTCATTTTCAAAGCCATGATTTAATCATTTTAATTAAAATAAATTGGTTATAGCGAACCATTTTCATTGGTATAAAAAAATTATGCTAGAATATTCTAATATAAATTTTATTATGATTATCATTCAATTTTGAGATCATCGTAGAACTTCATTAATAAGATTTGAGTTCAAGCTGATGGGGACGATGAGGAGTAAAACACCACAATGACGAAGCAAGCAAGAAAGTAAAAGCAGCGGAAAAAATAAAGGATATCAAGATTTAACGTGGAAAAGCCTAAAATATGGAAAAAAACTACGGAGTCACACCACACCAAGAAATTCACTTCAAAAATAGGGAGAAATAAGTACATGTATATTCTCTCTCACTCTCTCATTGTTTCTCTTCTCACATGCACCATTCTCACTCTTTCCCTAACTGAAAATATAAGAGAAAGCTAAGTAAATAAACTCCAAGGGATGCAAAAACCCTTTAAAAAACAAGAAAGAAAATAGTCAAGTCCATCTCGCAGTGCTGTGGCTCCAATTTAAAGTGTTGTAGCACTCAAACCTATGTCTTGAACCATTGTGGCATCATATCTAGGCCGTAGTGGCCCTCTGCTCTATGTTTTTTCAGCGTTGGGACCCTCGATAATGCAGCACCAGGGAGCTCGAGCACGCTGCACTAGGGCAATGTGGGTACGCATCACCATGGGCGCTTGGGTACACATCTCTAAGCATTGCACGGAAAAAAAATTTTTTTGTGCCCAAACCCAAGCAAGGGATAAACCCCCGACTCCGCACCCCCCAATATACACAACAAACTTTGAGGTCCGAGACAACAGAAAAATCCGACTAATTAACACAATTAGATGCCACACATAACAGAAACTTCTAGTTTGGTCTTCCTTTGAAGAAGAGACCCAATATCAGGTTTTGTTCAATAGAGGAGACATCCATTGTAACAAATATTTTTTGTTGTAATAGTATCAAAATATTTATACCCTTTTTGGGTTGAATCATACTCTAAAAAATGCATTTTGTTGTTAAAGGATCTAACTTTTTATGATTTTTATCCTAATTAATTGCAAATACGTTAAATCAAATAGTTTTAATGGGAAGATTATATGAGATCCTATAGTTGGAAAATTATTTTTGAAACATATATAAAAGGGTTTTGAAAATTCAAAATTGTGGTCACACCCGATTGATGGAACTTTTATTTGGTCCGGTGAAAGGACGTAGAGCTACGTTTGGCCGGCACTAA